CACCAATGTGGTGGCATCCAGGACTGGCACACTATGGCTGCCGTCATATCATCCACGTGGGCGCTACACATTGGTGGTGGTGGTGGAGGGGAGTCCCCCCCTGAAGCGCTTTCAGAGCAGTGTCCAGAAAAGTGCTGTATAAGTGTAAGGAATTAATAATAATAATAATAATAATAATAATAATGTTAAAATTAATAATAATAGAAGCTTGAAGTAAATGTTCTAATTATTTACATCAAAGCCACTTTAATATGTTCAGTGCAGTATATACATTATCCAGCTCTTGTGAGTATGCATTTAGAAAATATGTTTGGCTTAATCTTGATTTCCCACCTAGCATTTGTAACTGTAACTGTAGACTACTGTACTGAATAATTAAGTTTTGTTAACCAGACAAAACCACTATCTTAAACTTTAAACAGTGGTTCTCAACTCCAATCCTGGAAGACATAATTGAAGGTCTGTCAGGAGCAACAAAATAATTGGGAAAACCTGTTAAACTACTCAAATTAAATCAATAGTTAAATTAAAACATTAAGCATTATGCAGCAATGAAAATCTTGAAGCCTTAATCTTCCAGGACTGGCATTAATAAAATCTTTGTTTTGGAGTCAGCAAATTAGCCATGAAAAATATCAGATGTTTTATGAATCTAATAAAACATGCGACCTTCTTGTTATGCACCTACACATTTTTACAATAGCAATCACAAGTGATCAATGAACTTTATAGTTTTTAAAGTAGCACAATCCGCTTAAGATGAATACTGCATGTGGTATAGGCTTCTTTAAAGTATTGTAGCCTTTCACTTCCTAGTAATATGGTTGCATAATTAAATCTGGAACAGTAGTGTAAATAACACGGTGCTGGGAATTGCTTCACTAACGAGATGACCCAGTACACTGCTGGGTATAAGTTATCTTCCAGTGTCAAATACTCTACAAGAAAACACTTCCAAACTGCTTTGATAACATTTTGGTTCCAAGTCAGTATTTAAAGACAATGTAAATAGTAAAAAAAAATACATCTGCCAAGATATTAAAATCTGTTAACACGAGACCGTGTTGTATTTTGAAGGGGTCATGTATTTTGTTTTTTACATTATTATTACGCGATCATTGTGGGTTTTTACCTCTTAAGGAATGGGAATAAGACTTACAATATTACTTCGAGAGTCACTTTTGTCTGCTTACAAACATTTCAAGCTTTTAAATAAAACAAAATATGTCAATAATACACAGCAGTCGCGCTTCAATTCCAAGCCTCAGAACTTAGTTTAACCTCCGACCTCCCATTTCCTGCTACGGCGAGTCAGATGACTGTGGAGAGCTTGGAAGCAGTAGTGGAAGGGTTCAGACTGGGGGGAGTGGGAAGCAACTAAATATCAAATTTAATGTGTTAGTGCACCATAGAAAGACATCATTAATGAATACCGAGGTAGGTGTACTATCACACGTGTATTCAATCAGTGAAGCTCCTTTTTTTAAGTAGTCCTTTCTAAATTTACAGCTATGTATTTCTGTCGGCATAAGAGTATTATACACGCTCGTTGAGTGCTGGAAATTGTGTGTCGGTGATTGATACAGTCTTACAAGCCTGTATGTTTAGAGTCAAACTACTGGAGTAATTCATAAAGAATTTTGTTTTATATTAGGGGAATACTGAATTAATGCCAACAGTGTAACCGTGGTGATTATATAATAAGCGTTGGAAAATGTGTAGCGAGTATGATGAAATGTGAATTAAGTAGGATACTGTATTATAACTCATTTTTTCACCGAAGTCAAAATACGGTTATTCTTGTTATCAGCCACGTAAAATACATTTGTGTCTTTGTAATAGGTTTTGGTGCTGTATTTTGCTAAAAGTGCTGAACTAGCAGATGTGAGATCGGAGACTATTTCTGTTGCACGAGAAATAACGTCCTTGCAGCTGTGGGAAGAGCTGGTCAACAGACACCCCAGGTATGACGACATTGAATGATCTGAAATAGATTTCGACCTTTAACTCGTTTAAAAGTTAATATCTTAACACTAAAGAAACATTGAATGACTGACACGTTTGCAATTGGGTTTTCCTTTTCTTTAATGTTATTCATCTCACCATGTTTCACTATTTTCTTCAAACGTCTGGAAATATCGCATTTAAAAATAACTTAGGGGCGTCTGCCTGTACCTGTCCCTAATCCTATTTTTCAGTTAGATGGAGGAATACTGTACCTTTATACGTTTAACATTACTATGTACATCTCTGGTTATAAAGAAACTATAGAGCACATATTTATATGCATTTAACTGTGTTTAATGCAATGTTTTGTTGTTTCTTTCCCAATTAGGTCTGTTAAAGGGAAGTGCTACACTTATATATAGTGATACACTATATTTTGAGGTTAAAAAGAATTGACATTGATGAGTGCATTTCAAACTTCAATGAAAGTAAAATGTACACAGTAACGTGTAAAACCTCCTATTTACATCACAAAATAGATTAAATTTGGCACTGCAAGTATCTGCAGTGCCATATTCTGCGATTCAGAATGAGGCAACAAAATATCAGGTGATGTGAAGAGCCCTATTAAACTTTAGACAAGCAGGCTTGTGAATACATCTCTTTTAATCCAATAGAAATATTGCTCTTGACTTCAAGATGGTTTTGCCCACAAATACTTCTAGTTAACTCGGCATGAAGATCATGCTGTAACATTTCTGTGGTGAAATGTCTGTTGCACACCCTGTACATATTCACTCGTATATCACATCACATACTGTAAGTCGTTACGTTGACAAGTGAGCAGGAAGGGCAGCTTAACATTGCAATTTGCTCGAGACCAACAGTTTGCGACAACATGGTGACTTACAGTACTTTCACTAAGTTTACGATTTTGTGCTTTATTTGTACTTGTAAAATTTTTCTATACTGTCAATGAAATTATTTTGTCACTGAGATTTAATAAATGGTCTAAGAAATTGGGACTGCAGTTCCTAGTTAAATCTTTGAATTTTTCAAACTAATCTCTTAATGTATTAGGGACAAGATATTGTAACGCATATGGCGACATTACAGGTTGTTTGAGCTGGCTTACCAGCGCTGTGACGTCACCGCCCTTCCCTGTGAATAGCAGGGACCTCAGCCGCTGGGGTGATGGGAGATTCCCCTTTAGCTCAACTGGCTGGGTCCCTGTTGAGTGACGCCAGAGGCCCGGGTTCGAGTCCCCAGCGGTGGGGGGGCCGAACTGAGGCGGCAGCGGTGAGGGCATACCCACTTTCATAGACAAATGGTTGTTCATTCTGCAAGGAATTATCATTATATACTGGGGCTTCACCTCCTACCAGATGAGTGCATGTAAAGAAAACATAATACAAATTTATTTGCAACAGGTATGTGTTTGCAGTAGTTTGTTGGTGTCACGTACCTCTGTATTGTATTCTTAGACTGTCTGCACTAAGGAACCAGGTGGTGCTTGCTGTACGTCAGGAATACGTGGCCCTTGAAGATCAGCTTCTTAGCCTTCGTTCTGGTGACGAGGTTGCTGTTATCCCTCCTCTCAGTGGGGGTTAGCTGTTAATCTCAAGTGCTGCCAGTAAGTCCCTAAGTGTTTGCTGGCTTGCCAGAATCTGCTGTGTATTACATTATTTTAAAATTTACAAGATGATATCCTGATGTAGATCTTGTAGATTATGCTAATTTCCCATTATTTCCATTTCCTATTTGTAGTGTATTTCTGGGGCTTCCAGTCCAGTATCCTTTTAGAAATAGGTCTTTCTTTGATATCTAGTGTTTCAAATGTAAATGCAGTTTTGACAGTTTCTCTAAGCTAATTGCAAGAGAGCCCGTTGACATAGTAAATTAGTGTCTTGCAGTTCTTTGCGGCTGTTAACCGGAAGCCATTCCAAGCTATATTTCTTCTGCTCCTTTAGCTGTCAGCAGTAATTTTAGACCACCTTCACAGGAATATTGTGCTAGAGTGGGTAAAACACCATATAAAGAAACAAAAGATGTTCAGGTAATGTGATTTACACCATTAGAGATTAAAAGTTAACATAGGTTCTCTGAACAGGACGCCATTCTAAATTCATATTACTGCATAGCTTCATCTCCAGTGAAATACATGTTTATTGTATAAATATTTTTGCACAGATAATGAACAACTGTGACAATGATGCCAAGGATCTTATTAAGCTGACGTATGACAAGCTGTCTTCTGATGCAGTTTCAGAGTCTGTGGTATGCCCATCATGTGGGGCAATATCCATGTTCATTGGTAAGTTCCAAGTACCACATAATATAAAATCCTTATTATGTATAGCTATAAAAGATAAAGGAGGATGTGTTCTTAGGTTTAGAATGCTGGATTCATTGAAATGTCATAAGAGGTTAAATTAATCCTCTTCTTTTCGACCGGATGAGCACACCTTCAATGGGTGGGCTCGTAGAATCAGTAGGTGGTTGCAGAGCATATAAATTATATCCAAAGGGTCAAAATGTTTCAAAGTATCATAGTAATAGAAAAAAAAGATGGGAAATGGGAAATATACTTAATTTTTATCAGTATAATGCAAATAATTTTGCAAGTGTCATAATGTTTTGGGAATAGCAGCTGTTTGTCCCAGAGCACTGCATCAGACTGTTTACTGAGAATAATCTGGAGTCTGTAAGTAATGAAAGTTTATTTTTGGGTATTGCTCAAGCTACTTATTGTTTTATCTTTTTTGTAGCTCAAACAGAGTTGACAGGTGAGACAAATTGGTTGTCTATAAACCTTTGTAAGAAAAGTACTATAAGAGTTTCCAGGAGTTTTAAATGTTGCATGAGGTTCTGATGTTTTATAGAAACAAACAAACGCTCTCTGAACAAATTATCTGAGGAAAAAAAAATGTGTTACTGAATTTAACCAGTGTCTAGTAATTTTTAGTCCTGTGTGAGATGGCCTTTTCAATCACTCAATAACATGATTATATTTCCAGTGTATTTTTTACCTTGGTATATTTGTTTTTGGTATTAGTTCAAGAAAATATTTTGTGTATGTTCCACTGCTTAACCTTGGGGATGTCAGTTCAAAATGACCCCCTAACTTTCCTATTCTGCAGAAGTCTTTATATTCTGAATACTTTCTTGTGTCAGGGACAACACGAAACAACTTTGAAGGAAAGAAGGTGGTTCAATTGGAATACGAAGCATATATTCCAATGGCGGAAGCACAGCTCAAGAAAATATTCAGTGACATAAGAAAGACATGGCCATCTGTGAGGCACATTTGTGTTCATCATAGACTGGGGTAAGGTTAATCCAGGACATAAAACATTGATGAATGTCTGTGTAGTTATATAGAAAAAATGGATAATTGCTATGCAAAATGTTTCAGTAAATAATAAAAATCATGCACTGCTGTTCAAAATCTTAAGACAACTTAGACTTGATCATGAATGACAACACACATTTTGTTACAATTATGATGGATTATAAAAAAATAGAATTGCAGAAAATACAGAGCGGGATCATCAGTAATTAAAATAAATTATCATAACCCCCGAATTGGAAAGATATGTTACGAATATACCCGAGTGGTTGGTAAAATTAGAGGTACCTGAGTTCTCTGGCACAGCTTTGTCAAGAGAGTAGTAAATCAGGCACGCTAGGTTAAACAAATAATTTTAACAATGACAAAAGCATACCATACAACACACTTTAAAAAATACAACATACAAGTTACTCTAATTATTAACAAGGCATCCTTATCAACCAAAACATGCCTGATTGCTCCTGAGTATTCAAAAAAATTCTATATATTACCTACACAGACCAACATGAGAAATATTCTGTTTAACTATATACAGTTAAATCTTTCTCTCTGTAAGTCTAGATGTTGCAAAGTGAGTGGAAACCCAACTCCCTTTTCTTACAAATGCAGCCAATAACCAGAAGAGGCTGTTTTTAACCTAGAGATTCTACTTGCAGGAAATTAGATTTCTGAAAACAGCAGAATAGCAAGTTTTCTTAAGGTTTAAATACTTAACAAGAAGCTGGTCCTTATAGTTGATCTGGGAAGGACCTCTTGTCTCCAGTGTCATTGTCACAGTCTCCACCTTGCAGAGTTTAGAGGCATAGATGGGAGATAACAATAATACAACCACACAACCACAATTGCAAAGATGTGCAATGGTGTTTAATATGAGGAACAGCATTCCCAAAGTCCACACCCCCCAAAAAAACTAAGTGAAAACCACAAACTAACCAAAAAAACAACACAAAGCTATAGTATGAAATATATACATTATTTACTATACCAAAAAAACACACTAGATTGTTGTAGGCTGCTCGAATTCTATCTCCCACAATCCACCTTCTCCTAACTACCCCCCCCCCTTCTATCTTGAAGAGCTCCTTTTCTATGTTAAACTCCTCCCCCTAGAATATTCCACTATATAGCACAAAAAATAATTTGACAAAATAATAATCAGAATTCTGATATAAACATTTATGTGAATATACAATTAAACAATGCACATATTATTACCAACAATAAAACATCCCACTCCTTTTAATAACTGTTATCTAGGCAAATACTACCCCTCTTTTAATGGTATCTTCGTACAAATCAATCCACGCATGTGCAATCCTGAAACAGGCACTACTAAGCCAGCCCCTGTTGCCATGGCAAAGTTTGGGTCCTTCAGATTTGTGGGAGAAACCATTTTGCCAGTGAGAAATCCAAACAGCTTATTTATTTGAGATATGTGAATATGTTGATTACCAATTCAGTTCATTTCACTTCTAAAACAAAGGAAAACAGGTGTTTGGTTTAAGTTAATGATTAAATTTGATAATACGGGAACAGGCTTACTTTACTCTGTGTGTGCACCCACAGAGCAAGCAAAGCTATCCCTGTAATTCCAGACTAGTGTGTTTATATTGGAAACCAGCATTTTATGCCATTTTGATCATAAAAATATGTTACACGTACTGTTGTGGCTTTAAACCCATACATTATCATACTATATTTACTGTATATACAGCATATTTATATACCAGTTATATCATATTGCCATTGATGATGTACTTGTTTGGTACTGTATGGTTATCTGTGCACATGACTTCATGTGATTCATGTGTGCATTATTTCCTATATTTTACTACAGATTATTATTTATTTGACTATTTATTACAGAAAAAGTCTTTATTTGTTAGCAGTACAACACGTGCACTATCTGGAAATTTAACCCAGGACCTTTTAGCTCGCAGGTGAAAATTCTACTCCTTTTATTCGAGACTGTATGGTTTATTTAAAAAGCAAAAGGATGTATTTCCTTTGTAGCATATAGTAGTTTTAAAATGTTGGCCTCGTGAATCAAATATGTGAAAAAAGAATTTCTGACTTCCCCCACATGTATATCGCATGAACTGATATCCTCTCATTACCAAAGAGTACTATGCACTACAAATAAAATAACTGCAGTATAATACAGTCTGTACATAAATACAGCATGCTGAATGTACAGTAAATACAATGATACTGTATGTCTTTTTAGACACTACAGTATGTGTAAAGTATTTTTTATAATTAAAGTCTAAAATCATTTATCTGTTTCCTAATTACTTGTTATTTTAATGATATATTTTTATATAATTGGCTGAGTAATTTTGCTTTTTCTAACATCTAATCTGCCACAAGTGCCACCTATTGTGAATCACATAGTGGAATTGCACAACAGTATGGTGCAACACGGCGAAGCCAAACATGACAATTAGTTTTGCTTGTGCATTTTGATTGGCTGCATCCGTAGCTTAGTTAACATTTATGTAACAATGCATCCTGGGTTATGATTTAGTTATTCAGTTAAGACCTGTTATGCTTGTACAGTTGCAAGAAAAAGTCTGTGAACCCTTTGGAATTACCTGGATTTCTTCATTAATTACTAATAAAAATGTGTTCTGATCTTCAACTAAGTCATAATAATAGACAAACACAATCTGCTTAAACTAATAACACAAACAATTGTACTTCTTCTTGTCAATATTGAACACATTGTTTAATCATTCACAGTCCAAGCTAGAAAAAGAATGTGAACCCTTGTATTTAGTAACTGGTAGAACCTCCACCAGACGTTTCCTGTAGTTGCTGATGAGACTTACACAACGGTTAGGAGGAATTTTAGACCATTCCTCCTTACAAAACTGTTTCAGTTCATTGATATTTTGGGATTCCTTGCATGAACAGCTCTCTTCAAGTTGTGCCACGACATCTCAATTGGGTTGAGGTCTGGACTCTGATTTGGTCATTCCAGAACACAAATTTTCTTCTGTTTAAGCCATTTTGTTGTTGATTTACTCCTGCGTTTTGGGTCATTGCCGTGTTGCATCATCCAACTTCTATTAAGCTTCAGGTGACGGACCACTACCCTGACATTCTCCTGTAATATTTCTCGATACAATTTTGAATTCATTGTTCTCTCTATGATAGCAAGCTGTCCAGGCCCTGATAAACCATGATGCTCCCTCCACCATGCTTCACGGTTGGCATGAGGTTTTGGTGTGCAGTGCTTTTTTTCCTCCAAACATAGCATTGCACATTTCTGCCAAAGAGTTAAACTTTTCTCTCATCTGTCCACTGAACATTGTCCCAGAAGCTTTGTGGAACATCCAGGTGTCTTTTACAAACTTGAGACGTGCAACAATGTTTTTTTGGAAAGCAGTGGTTTCCTCTGCTGTCTCCTTCCATTAACACCATTCTTGTTCAGTGTTTTTCTTATAGTGGACACATGAGACATTGGCAAGTTCAAGAGATTTCTACAGGTCCTTTGCTGTTACCCTAGGGTTCTTTTTCACCTCCTTCAGCATTGCACGCTGCTCTCTTGCCGTGATCTTTGCAGGATGCCCACTCCTATTGAGAGTAGCAACAGTACTGAATTTCCTCCATTTGTAGACAATTTGTCTTGCTGTGGATTGATGAACACCCAGGCCTTTCTAAATGCTTTTGTAGCCTTTTACAGCTTTGTGCATCTCTACAATTATTTTTCTAAGGTCCTCTGATATTCCTTTTGATTTGGGCATGGTTCACATGAACGGCTCTTTCTTGGGAAGAGCAGACTCTGTTAGTAACCAACCTTTGTGTGCCTTTTTTGTAGGGTAGGGTACCTCCAACCCACACCTCCAATCATATCTAATTAATTAGAACACCAGACTCCAATTAGCTTTTGGAGAAGTCATTAGCCTAGAGCTTCCAACCTAGACTAAATGTTTAAACGATGTGTTCAGTACTGACAAGAAGTACAATTGTTTGTGTGTTATTAGATTAAGCAGATTGTGTTTGTCTATTATTGTGACTTAGTTGAAGATCAGACCACATTTTTTAATTAATGCAGAAATCCAGGTAATTCCAAAGGGTTCACACACTTTTTTTTTTCAACTGTTTGTTATGAGCAATGGTTATATGTGACTGTTGTGCCACGCAATAATGTTAAAATAACCAAAAGAGTTAAGTGCTCCCCTAAGTTATCACAGTCTCAGTTCTTGTATGTCTCAAAGAAAAGCATAAGAAAAGAAATTATAAGAACGAAAAGGTTAGAAAGATGGAAAGACTCAAAGTGGTTGAGTGGGTAAGGAGTGAGTATATTACATTTACTTTCTTGATGGTTATTATATTACAGTAGGGATGCATTTATGATGGTAGTAAAAATAAGATATAAAAGTGAACAGTGTGCACTACTAAGATTGGAAAAAACTGACTAATACATGGTAAGCTATGTAATCATAACAATTTTCTAATGTATTTGTACAATAACATGCAATAATCCAGTACTCTTTTTTCTACCAATAATTACAGTACTTCTGAAAATGTTAAGTTAAAATAAAAGTGTACGGTTTTGTGAGCCGGAATATGGAAGGTTTTAGGTTCCATATTTGCAAATTCACCATTTGTGCATACCTCAAGGAACCTAATCCTTGCAAATAACGTATTGTATGTAAAAATACTTTTTTTCAGACCTTGGGTAGAACTTAATTTTTTTGTAATAGTATTCTGCAGAATACTAAGTGCCCCATCAAGCTGTTAAACAGGTTCAGAAGGCAACCTTATAGGTAGAGTATAGCCTTTCTGTTAGATTAAATCTCGCATCTGTTCTGTATGATATATTTCCCTATTTGGACTGTGATGCTGTGAGGGGTGTTGTCCTAGAAGCATCATCCAGTTCACTGAGACTTTTGCCCCTGCTAAGATGGTTGCGAGAGAATGCCACGACTCAAGATGGCATCAGCCAGCTATTGCTAGAATAGGGAACAGCTATGTGCTCTGTTCTTGCCTATATAAATTGGCTATCGAGCTGGTAGTGAGTTCATCCAAACTACTTGGAAAGAGTGCAGGGTGAGAGAAGGCTGTTGCATCCAGATCGCTGTGTATTGATGAAGCGTTTGTATGAATCAGAAATTGGAGAAAGGAATACAGAAATACCTGAGACTGAAAAGAGGAAATGAACCAAACTACGGGAAGACATGAGCCTAGAGAGAGAAATCAGAAAGACTTGGGACTGGAGGAAAAACGTGAATGGTATATCAAACCCTGCTAATTAATTAATGGAGCATGAGTTAGTAAAGCCATTTTTTGTGTATTTTGTCTGAATGGTATTCTCAACAGACAATTAATTATGAACTTCGTGGCCACAGGATAACTGTCTCATCTGTTTAGTGAGGAAAGCCTACAAGTTAGTTATGAACTCAAATAAAAGCTGGGTTTTGCTTTTATTTTAATACATTTTATTTAAATTTTCCATTTATTAAAATAAAAACAGTTAGCTGCCTGACTGTCTTTTGGTGTGTCTGTGTGATGTGTCCCATCTATATTTTATGCTCACGCATTCCTATGAAGCATTAGAGGATACAAATTTAAACAATTTCTCATTTGCAATAAGCTTGTATGCTTTTTGGATGATGCAGTATTTGCCATATATTACTGGCAAGGGCAATTGTGTGGGGTTTAAATGTAATAAATACTGGAATTGCATACCTTGACCATATAACTATTATTGTAAATTGATAAATTTGATAAATTATTTTTAAAAACCCCTTCCAAATGTGTTTAAACATTTCATAATGGCCTCTGCTACTGCAGAGTATTTCATAGAGTGCAGATAACCTGTATATTCTTAAATAACGCATTTCATGCATATTTTCACTGTTATTGTAAAAGAAGTAAAATGAGCAAATTGCAGTGTTCAATTGCATCAACTTGTCATCCATAACTAGATAAAATGTCAGACATAGATCCATTGTTTAATATTGTTTTTGTACAAATAGCTGATTGTAAATATGCCTTTCTCAGTGGATTTGCTGTAGGAGTTGCTCTGCCATTATATTTGTGGGAGAAATGAGTGCATCTTGTGATGGTCAGCTTTTTCCAGGGGAATAATTACGGGATGTGGGTGTGGTAGGCTTTCATTCCCAGTGTCAATCTCAGCATTTTGTTTTGTGTTATTTGTGACTTAACAATGTTTTGACTATTATTATAATTGTGGCCAATGAAAAATTGCAGGTTTAGCAAAATGTTACATCTAATGTAGAATGTTCCGCCAGGTGGATCCTCATAGTTTCTAATTTTGTTGAAAATCATAGTTCCTGTACAGATGTACTTGATGATTGAGACTAGAATGCATGCAGGGAGTTAGAGGATAACTATTGAGCTGCATGGTAGGACCCTTGAAGGTCACATGACTACGAAATTTTTGTCCATTGAACAGCCTGCCTTGTCTTGCAAAAAATGTTTGGTCTTGAAGTCATCCATACAAAGTAGACTCTCATAACATCTTATAACACAAAAAAGATTTTAATGTCATTGTCTAAATTTTAAACAGACCAAAATCACATACATTATGAAGCTGGAAACATGTAGTTATATAAACCAAACTGCACATTTATATAATTTATATTTATATGTATATACGTGTGTGTGTATATATATATGCATTTATACTAAAAGCTTTTTCTGTAAAAGTGGTAATTGTACTTCAACATTATACTGACACGCTGCAATGTCAGCAGTAGTCAGGCAGCCCATTATAAATTGCCACACTGCCTCAAGGCATATGTAAATACTGACAGTGATGTCATTTTTAAAAATGTAATGAACAGATTGGCTAGGGAGATGGAGATCTCACATGACAGGAGCATATCAATTAGTTTTATTCATGAAGGCTATTCGTATTGACAGATTGTAACACCCCTTGTTTAATCCACTCTAGCATGTCTGACTGAAACTGGTGCAGTTCATAATAGAAGAAGGTGAGGAAATACAACCAAACTTCAAAACCGATATCAAGATACTCATCACAAATACCATTTACATTGAGTTTTGATCCAGTAGAGATATTTAGAATTACCCTGCTGCAAGTTTAAGAGGTAGTTTTGTTAAGATCTTAATGTGACTACTTTATCCTTTTTTTGTTTAATCTCAAAAACATATGAGCAGCTATATGCCTTGTTTCCATAATTATTTTCCATACTGTATGAATTTTTAAGGTTGTACACAAACATTTAGGCAACCCTGGTCAAATTGCATGTTTCACAATATCTAAGTGAAAAGATGTTAATGCAACCTCTGCACAGTACAAATTTAAACATATTTCTGAACATTTTAATGCACGGTTACCATTTATTTGCTGAATTAAACAGATTGAGAAAAATAAAATAGTGAATGTAGCATGTGCAAAAGTTAAAAATTTGATTGACTCATTAGGCCTTAAATTAAGCCAGGGGAAGACAATTCCAGAGTTGTGTTAATACTTGGACCTTTCTAACCTCTCAGATATTGTGCATACTCTCAGCTCAGCTCCTCTGAACAGCTGACTGAGGACTTACTAAGCAAAGGGAGGTTATACAAAGATATTTGAATGCTTCCAGCTTGGAATTTCCACTGTCAGAAACCACTACGAAATAGAAGTTAAGGGGAATGGTTGAGTTAAAGGCAGGATCTAGAAGACCCAGAAAAACATCTGAGCTGCTCATAAACTGGTCAGATATACATGCAGAACCCACTTGTCACTGCAGAAAGGTTGAGCTCACACCGGAGTAGTGGTCCACAAGTCCACAGTACACTTGCTTACACAGAAATGATTGGCATGGAAGAGTTCTCACAAGAAAACCTTTTCTACACACAAAAGGCAACTATCTGAAATATGCAAAACAATACTTTGATAAACCAGAAAGATTTTGAAACAGTGCTGTGGTATGATAAAACAAAAATTGAACTTTTTTGTCAGAACCACAAAAGATACATTTGGACTAAAACATTTGAAGCAGTTTTCTGTCAAAGCACACGTTACTATTGTAAGTACTGACTGACTGAGTGCTCAAACTTTTGTACAAGTCACATTCACTGTTTTATTTTTTCGATCTGTTAAATTCAGCAAATAGTACACAATCTACTCCACATATTCAAAGCAAAAAAAGGAAGTAAATGGATATTCACTATAAAAGAAAATTGGAAAATACATGATTGCATTAGTAATCAGAACCTTTCTTGTTGCAAACCCATCTTAAAGTTTTTAATAAATTAAAATTTATGCAAATGTTGTGTAATTTTACAAAAATGTTTTGTTATTTTTCAAAATAGAACACCATAGAATACTTTTGGAAGGCACTGTACACTGTATTTTAATTTAAAAATGTTAATCCATTTTTGATTGTGTGTACATACCTTTACAAGCCCAAAACTAAATTTCCTGGTTCCAATTAAATGGATCATATAAGCAACTGCAAATTTTATACTGTGTTATGTTGGCCATGTTCTGTGTTAAATACACTGAGAATTATAGTAGTGCTTTACAAAAGTAGACTTTTATTATTGCCATGGAAGAGTATTTCACTGTCATTCTATGTAATATTATTTACTTTTGTATTTTTTTTTACTTTTCTTTCTACTTGTTCCTCTGATGCAGCCACCTGCTCAAACGTCCATTTAAATTTAATATTACTGACCCCAATGACAGGTCTGATTGAAGTGTACCTCAGTGTATTTACTGTATGTTAGCTCAAGAAACAGAGTTGTCTGGGAAACATCTGATGTACTCCTGCCTTGCATCCGCTGCTTTCCGAGATTGGCTCCAGCTTCCCTGCACTCCTATATGGAAAGAGTAGTTAGAAAATGGATGGATTACTGGATTGCACCTGGTCAATTGTGTTCTTTTGGAGAATTTTGTACTGTATCTCTTGCTAAAAAAATGAAAACCTGGATATTGTTCATGGTATTGGAGCACATGCTTCTCTCCTGGTTGAGTCTGTTTCGCAATACTGTTGAAAGTCAGATTGAATAGAAAATGTGGTTGTCAGTTCTAAAAAATACAATAATATTGCGTCCCATTGTAGACATCATAACAACACAGTGGTAAGGGAAGTTCCAAAGAAGTGGTCTACGTTTGTCTGAGTGTTCTCAGACAAATGTTCTTATAATGTACTTGTTTCAGATCAGCCTTGGAGTTCCTAAAGATGCTGAAGCAGTAAGGAAATTTGAGAAGGTTTTGTCTTCTGTCTGTTAGGGTGGTGCCAGTTATGGAAGCCAGTGTCATCATAGGCATCTCTTCAACACACAGGAGTGAATCTCTTGAGGCAGTGAAATACTGCATTGATGCATTAAAAGCAGCTGTACCAATATGGAAAAAAGTAAGTGAGCTTCTTGGTATTCAATTAAAAAGTCCGTTTCAGATGTGATGTTCATGTGGACATAATTGTGATTCTATGCTTAAAGTTGAAGTTTTATTTATAAAGGAACATTAAATACAGAGTTTGGCCCAGTTAATAATAAAGATTTTGTTTTAAATGTTTTATTTCCATTTATAAAGTGTTTTGCTATAATAGGACTAAAATAATTTCTGTCTTTGTTTACTTGTTGAAAGCAACATTTATGGCAAGGCCATAATGACCGTACTATACCATGAATTTACTGTTAGACACTTGTGGGCTCTTTCATACATAAAATCCACTCCCAGAGACAAAACAACAAGTTACACAGAGTTGAATGAACAGTAATTTGGAGCCCAAGCGGTGTTTAATTCCAAATGGAACACTAAAACAAAAAATCATAATTGAAAAGTGTTCTAAATCGGTTGTACAATATTAACAAGATAAGGTTATGAAAGATTTCTTTCTGCATTGAACATGATTACAAAATGTCTGTTTTACATGCTGTATAGTCATTAGCCAAACCACATGCTTTGAAGTTAAAGTAAGAACAGATTTTGTGAATGTTCAATTTTTCTGCTAATTTTATATCCCCTCAAGATAGGCCCCTATGCAGTATGTGAATGCTGGTCATTTTTCTCTAAATGATCCTTTCATTTTAGGAGATCTATGAAACAGAGGGTTCCTCTTGGAAGGAGAACAAGGAGTGTCTTTGGGGAAGAAATGAAGTAAAGTAGCAATGGACTATGGACAATAGGACTTTCAAGAAGTGGAAGATTGCTTCCTCCACTGAATTATTCGAGACATTCTTTATAAAATTCAGTGCTACAGATAGCCTATTTAGTTACGCAGGATGATGCTGAAATGATTTATGATAAATATGCCAAAGACTATATTTTCTCTCTGAATATGAGATATGATATGCAGATTAAAAAGTCTTTTACACCAATGTTTTCCTTTAGAGAAAATAACAATAATAATAATAAATATGGTAACATGAACAAAATTATGGTAATGCATGATGCTATTAAAGATTAAGTCTTTGTGAATACTTTTTTCCAGAATGAACAATACTTTAGTGGTGTCTGAATAGTGCTTTTTTGGAGAAGTTCTCTGTAATGAAGTTGAAGGATATTTAAATTAAATTAAATATTTAATTTAGCTGAATTGTAGGGAGATTGTAACTGTCAAAATGGTTTCTACTGTAGATAAGCAGAACAAAAATCTTCACTTAAATGCATGAAGCTCTAGTCACTGCCACAACAAAAAATCAAAAACAGTTCATGAAGATGTAGACTTTTTATAGGCACTGTTATGCAGTCACATTCTCCTCTATTCCTTTTGCGAGATCTTGTGACAAATCAGGTCCTATCCTGCTGGTGCCCTCTCATGCTAACCATTCACTACTCTTCACACAGGGATCTCTCAAACTTATTGGGACATACTTTCTCTTAGAAAGGACCTCTCTTCTTGGATGTCTGTGTGGGCAAAGGTGATGCCAAAGTTTCTCTGCCCATCTAGCTCCTGAGATGCTTTCATACAGCTTGCCCTTGCTCTCTGACACCATCCCACATACATAACTGGTAGTTTCAGGAGCAGTTAGCACTTCACATCCAACTTTTGGAAGAAGGATCACAAAGCTTTCTTCACTGGCACTAGTCTAGGTCTGTCTCTCTGGGTTAAAAGAGGTAGATGTCACCAGTCTGGTTTTCTTTTTTTTAACAATATTTACAAGCTGGAGAGTCAAACCTTGTCTCTATTGATTGCAAATACTCAACAAGTTGAAGCTTGTTCAGAGCTCAGCTGCTGAGATATTAACCAAAATTAATATGAATGAACATACTGTATATAACCTGTTTTAGTTTCTTCACACTGGCTCCCTGTGGAAGTTAACTCTATATGTACTGTTGTTTGTACTTTTCAGACTATGCCTTATTTCCCTAAATGAGGCTCTGAAAAGTGGGAGACTGCTTTCTGTTCTGTTGCTTCAAGCCTGTGGAATGAAGCCCACATGTTTAATTGTTTAATTTATTATATAAAATATACCCAATATAATATTTTTTGTTATTACAACCTATCAGATTAGGATTCTGTGATCCTATATGGCTATGGGTGCTTAGACGTAGAGAGAACTAGAAATTCTCGCACCCCTGACACAGGAGGAGTCAATGTTATAAACGAGTAGAGCTTTAAGTTATTACACACTGGTAATTTACTTGCTCTATTTTTGTAGACTGCAGCTCCTTTTTCTGAGATGGTCATTCAAACTCTTAGAGAAAGAGGACCACTTGTAAGTGTAACTCTGATTTTCAAGTAATGCATTTTTCTCACCAAATTGTCATGTGGAAACCCATGGAGAGTGATTGCAGTCTGATGGTGGGCAATGGCGCCCTCACATGGGTAAAAATGGTGTTACAAACCTCTCAATACTTACCAACAAAGTTGTCACACACGCCTATTACTCAGGGAATATCAAGCAGTGTCATGTAGTTTATCATCTGCGAACAGGGGGTGGTAGTTGATAAATTTGATAGTATTTGCTAAAGTGTTACTTTCAGCAAACAGATTTCAAAATAAATTATAAAGGGGATTCTTATATCCACCAAGTATTGCCCAACTCTTAACAAATGATGCTTATACTGTATGAAAATCAGCACTTTGAAGATAATGGAGGTCTCTAATTTTACTGTAAACAATTGTACAGAACAAAAATTCTAAGAGCTTTGAGAAGCTACCTTTAAAGGTGCTATATAAGATAAAGTTGATTATTTTTACTATATAAACATTTGGCTGATATTTCAATGGATACATTTATGCTGTGCATGTTCAAAGAAAGAAGATTATAAACACACCCCACAACAATTCTAGTGTAGAATAAACAGTAAAATGTGAACCAGAGAACACATGTGGAAACTATGTGGAAGTGCATGTAAAACCAACAACAGAAGACACTTCTAAATCCTTGGATCCAGGATTCCAGGTGTGGTAGTAAGAGGAGATTTTTGAGGTCGGGGCCGGTATGGGATGGACTTACAGTCGTGCGCCAAAAGGCAGGGATAGAGACTCTGCTGGCAGACAAATGAAAGAAACGGCGTCCTGTGCTGCGATGGATGTAGCGACTCGGTCGTAAAATCCCAGTAAAACGATAATAATAATCTAATGTGTCTTTAACCAAGAAGTAGCTTTGTTTTAGTTGAAGAAGTTGCAGTGCAGTGTACCTCAGAGATGTGATTGATGATTCAAGACGGTGTAACAAGATGGGAAGGAAATCCAGAGTAAGGCGGTAGCAGGTGCTGAAGGAGATGGGATGGGATCTTCATCCTGGCTAGGTGTAACAGGAAATTCCAATGGCTCAGTTGGCAAAGAGAGTTTTGTACCAAAGGAACACACTTTTTGTTCTGCAATAATGTGGTGAGAACAGCAAAGAAGAGCGATATTGCCACAACGGTTAAGAATTAGGTATCAAGCTTTGTATTGAAGCAGTTTAAAAGTGAAGTTACAAGGCCTGTCCTTGTGTGTGACAGGGCCATCATACATGATATGCCCTCTTGACTTCACAGGGCTTAGTGGTGGCCAACAGAGCTAGTCATTTTGTGATAAAGGTCAGCTTTGTATAATGCTAATAGCATCATTTTCCTTCACACCTTCTGGATGGCTCATTATGCAGTGATTAGAATGGTGGCCTGTCATTTTTGCCAGATGGGATATACAGTAAGATGGTTTATCTCCTCCACCACTCCAGTGATGTCTTGAATCCATCTCTGAGCTGCCTGGTTGATACAGTATAAGTTCCCTTGATTTTCTTTTTCTTGGAGGAAAAGGCAACCATAATCTCCTCTGTCGGCTGAAGCTGAGACTGCTGTTTCCCAGAGAGGAAGATTGCTTTGACATCTGAAAAGAGAATGATCCGCGTATACTCCCCAGTTCAGATCACAGTAAAAAAATAAGAGTGAGCGGAATAATCTGTCAGAAATCCAGGACAGTTGCCCCATTGTCCCAAGCTTTCTTGTTCAAATTTCTGGGGGGAGGAGTAGGTGTGTGTATAACTCCACTGCACATGATTTTTGTTTCCTGGAAATTGCCTTCCCAAGGTTTTAAGTTTATGTTTAAATTTATCTTCTTTAATATTTGTTTTATTTTTTTTTCTGTAACAAGACTGTGCCAGGTAAATTGACCTATAATCATAGTGACTTTCAATAACAATGGAGGAGATGTCATATATAAGATGATTTATCCAAACAATTTCTGCTTGGGTAAGCTATAGGTAGATTTTTCTTTTGTGTTTTCACAATCAAGTAACTTGTACCAAATGTGCACCCCATTTTTGACTACGGATTAGAAAAGTGGTCGGCAACCAATTAGAAGTGTTGTGCCAAGAAATTGCTCATGCACTTATTTTTACAGATTTGCAAGCCATTGATACTTAAAATGTCAATAACAGCCCTACTTATATTTTTATTTAACGTTTAATATTTAAATATAAAATAATCGGAAATTAATACATTCATATTTACATCTTACCATTTAGTGTGAAAATACCTGTTTACAGAGGTACTGTATGTTGATCCAAATCACAATCTTTTAAACAGCGGTGTTTTGAAATCTTTGTGTATTTTCCTTACAAAGATATTGACTACTGAGACATTGTCTCATCATTATGTTTAAATGATGAAGTGAAGGGTGTGAAAACATTCAAAAATCACCCTCAACAAAATGGAAGAAGTTTGACATCTCTAGGTGGTTTTGTTAAGATGCTGTTGAAGGACCAAAAAAATGAAAATCAAGAGAATTTTGAACTTCTATATTCTCTTGAAAAATGTTATCAGTGGCACAGATTGTGAGCTTTCCGGTGAAAACGATAGGCTAGCCCTTCTAAAAATGCAGTTGTAACAGTACATTTCAACCCTGTCATGGTTATCAAAGCTATCTGGTTTAATCAGAAAAGAATACTTTGCAAAACAAAAACATTGGAAATCCTGAAAATGGAAGAAAATTCTTATTCCACTTTTTCACGTTCACATTCTATTATTTTTTGTTTTTTATTTTTAATATAGTAAAATGTGTGGTTTTCTTTTGTTTTTACTTGACACAAATTATCAGTTAAATACATCAGGGTTCAATGCAGTAACACAATAAAATGTGACAATGACAAGTTTTGCAAGAAATGCCTTCCATGTTTCAGAAAGACTCATAACAGTTTAATCTGTACCCTGCAGACGGCTGAGTTCATTCATATGCACCCCACTTTTGATGTTGCAGTTTGGGCTCATTTTGACCTTTTTCTGACAAGAAAGATCTTAACTGCATCACAACATGGCTTTACACACTGACAGGCATTGCACATTTACAATGTTTGACTTTAACACTTAAGTGGGAAAAATGTTATCAGCAGCATAGCTGCTATTTCCTGTGAAAAATGCAGTAAATAACCCAACTGAATCATTTTGTTCTGTGCCAATGAGCTTTCATTGCATAGCATGTTGTAGAGAATTACGGAACAATCAGGTATAGTTTTTATCATTTTTAAATGAACTTCTTTATGACTTATTAGAAATTAATTGCATTAGCCATTAAAAAGCCATTTGTGGCCTACATTTGACATGTGCCTTTGATTGCTGACGCCTGGGTTAAAGTCCTCCCTGAGGGACAAACTGTTTTATTAACAGCAACAAATAAACTAAAGCAGGCCAGCACATACTGTATACACATGTAATTTGTAGGACTGGTTCTTCACAAAAGGAAGGCAGTGTTAAATACAGTACCTTGGACTTGGAGTTGAGTGATGAAAGATAAAACTATCTTGAGCCAAATCAAAATCTAGCTAAACATGAATTAAGTGCTCCATTGACATAAGTGATAAAATAAAATGTCATTACAACTTTCTACCACAGACACCACCCTGAATCCACAAGAGAAGAAGTGGAGTGAAGTACAATTATTTTCTGTACATATTCGCTTTGCTTGTTTGGAATCTCATTCTCATGTGCACTCAGTCACTAATTCTCTATTGCTTTATATCCCCTCTATGTTCCTTTCTCTCCCTCCTGAAAGAGATGAAACGTGTTTCTCCTTTCTTCTTTTCAGCATGGAATTATCTTTTAAATGCTTTTCCAGGTCCCCACTAAACATGTGTAACTTACGGGATCAATTACTTAAGGGATAAGTAA